TATTATATTATGTTCTATTATATTATATTATTTTATTATATTATATTATATTACATTACATTATATTATATTCTATCTTCCTCCTTTTTTCCCTCCTTCCGTTTGTCTCTCTCTCTCTTTTTTTCTTTCTTGGTTTTTTTTTTTTGCAAGTAGTATTTAAACATGGATTTTTGTGTGGCAGAACTTCTGAGACCCCATCTGCCTAAAAATGTTTTTTTATACCCTCAAATTTTAATTTTGCTGTATAGAAAATTCTAGGTTCAGAGGTCTTTTCCTTCAGTGCCTTAAAAATATTACTTCATTGATTAGCATTCATTACAGGTGCCAAGATATCTGAGGACAATTAGATTTTTTTTTTTTTAATTGTAGGTGACTAGCTTTTTTACTCTGGCAACTTTTTAGAATTTTCTCTTTGAAATGCACTTCAGGAAGAGCTGTCTCACTAGGTGTCATTCCCCAACCTTGAGCTTATTGATGGAGGAGTGGAGAATATGCTACAAGTCTCTGATCAGCTCTAGCCCTATTTCAATCACAGCCTCCAGCAGGGTTTTACTTTGTCTTGACATTGTAATGCATACCTAGTCACCCAAGAGTTGGGCTATTGCTAGTTGAATTCTGCAATGAAGGGGCAAATAGTAACTATCCTAAGACAATTCTGGGGATGGGCAAGAATAAAACCTAAACATTTGCCTTCCACTTAGTTTCTCACTGAAGTGTTTTCTGCTTCTCTGCCCTAGGCTGCATCCACTATCCCCTCCAACACCTATTCAGGACAGTCTTCACTCTGCATGGATGTCTCCTGCAGTTATAACTGCCATTAATACCTGGAATCTCTGTTTTCCTCTTGCTTTTGTAGTTTCTCCAAGGTTGATTCTGGTTGAGAGCCAGCAGGCCACGCTAATTTGCCATGTTGAAAATGTAGGTTAAATTTAATAGGGTTAAAATCCATTTTCTCTCATATAAATCTTGAATAATAGGGGTGCCTGGATGGCTCAGTCGTTAAGTGTCTGCCTTCAGCTCAGGTCATGGTCCCAGGGTCCTGGGATTGAGCCCCACATTGGGCTCCCTGCTCGGCAGGAAGTCTGCTTCTCCCTCTCCCACTCCCCCTGCTTGTGTTCCCTCTCTAGCTGTCTCTCTCTCTGTCAAAAAATAAATAAAAAATCTTAAAAAAAAAATCTTGAATAATTGCAGTCATTCTTTTTTTCTTTTGTAGTCATTTCTTAAAAAAAAACCCAAAACAAAAAAATAACAGGGAGACTTTTTTTTGCTTTTGTCTTTGACCTAGGAAATAGTTCACCAAAAAACTCAGTGAAACTTAAAAAGCATAGAAAAAAATAATTTACCAGTCTGTGAAACACTCCTTCCTCTCTGTTTCCTCACTTTTAAGAAGACAAGTGTAGGTCTTATTCAATCATTGTAACTTTCTATACATATTAGATACAGTATAGAAAACCAGGTTTAATGTTTCACGCTGCCACATTCTAACTGTTAAATTTTGGACAGATTCTTTAAACTCCTAGAACTGGAATATCGTATCTACAAGTTGAAAGGGTTGGAGTTCATGACTGATTTTTGTCCCTTTATTTCTTTTTTTTTTCAGCTTTATCAAGATATAATTTACAACTAAAATTGCAAGATATTTAAAGTGTACAACATGATTTAATATATGTATACACTGTGAAAGAATTCTCCCCATTGAGTTAGTTCACACATCCATCATCTCACATATTTGCTTTTTTTTTTTTTTTTTTTTGGTGAGAACATTTAAGTTCTACTTTCTTAGCAAGTTACAATTACACAATACAGTGTTAACAACTATAGTCACCATGTTATCCATTAGATTCTCAGATTTTATTTGTCTTATAACTGAAAGTTTGTACCCTTCACCAACCTCTCCCTATTTTCTCTATCTCCCAGCCAACCATCAATCAACTCTGTTTCTGAGTTTGCCTTTTGCCTTTCTCTTTCTGGCTTATTTCACTTAGCATAATGCCCTCCATGTTTATCCATGTTGTGGCAAATGGCAGGGTTTCCTTCTTTTTTAAGGCTGAATTATATCTGTATCTATATCTATAATCTATATCTCACATCTTCTTTATCTATCCATCCATTCATCCATTGACAGACACTTAAGTTGTTTCCATATCTTGGCTATTGTGAATAATGCTGCAGTGAACATAGGAGTGCAGATATTTTTTTCAAGATTATGATTTTATTTCCATTGGATATATATTTCAGAAGTGGAATTGCTGGATCATATGGTAGTTCTATTTTTATCTTTTTGAGGAACCTCCATACTGTCTTCCATAGTGACTGCACCAGTTTACATTCCAACCAACAGTGCATGCTGGTTCCCTTTTCTCCACATCCTTGCCAGCATTTGTTATCTCTTGTGTTTTGGTTAATAGCCATTCTAACAGCTGTGAGGTGATATCTCATTGTGGTTTTGATTTGCATTTCCCTGATGGTTAGTGATGTTGAGCACCTTTCATGAGCCTGTTGGCCATTTGTATGTTTTCTCTGGAAAATGTCTGTTAAGGTTCTTTGCCCATTTTTAAAATTAGGTTATTTGTTTTTCTGCTATTGAGTTGTATGAGTTTCTTATATATTTTGGATATTAACCCCTTATTGGATAGGTGGTTCGCCAGCATTTTCTTCCATTCCATAGTTTGTCTTTTTATTTTGCTGATAATTTCCTTTGCTATGCAGAAGCTTTTTGGTTTGACGTATGTATGACTACTTGTTTATTTTTGCTTTCTTTGCCTTTGTTTTTGGCATTAAATCCAAAAAAATCATTGTGAAGACCAGTATCAAGAAGCTTACTCCTCATGTTTTCTTCTAGAAGTCTTTTGGTTTCAGGTCTTAAATTCAAGTCTTTAATCCATTTTGAGTTTATTTTTGTGTATGGTATAAGAGAGAGACTCAGTTTTATTCTTCTGCATGTGGCTATCCAGTCTTCCCACCACCATTTATTAATTTCCCCATTGTATATTCTTAGCTCCTTTGTCATAAGTTAATTGACCATCTACACATGTGTTTTATTCTGGGCTCTCTATTCTTTTCCATTAGGTTCCTTTCTACTTTGTGATTTTATGATGGTGATTATATGGAGTTTTCAATAATTTATTTTATTCCTAAAAATTTTTACTGTTGTGAAATCCTTGTCTACCATTGATGAACAGTTTTATAAAATTCTGCAGATAAATAGTAAGTACATGGTATGAAAAAAGCAAATTATTAGCCTCTAGGATTAGCAGTTGGCATGTATGTTCATGTTACAGTAGTGGCCTACCACTTCAAGTGTCCATGGGAATGAATTGTAGAGAGTTTGAAAAAAAAGTACAAATGTATTTGTGAAATATATTGCTGCTAGGCTATATTTTAAATAATTTAAATCAGATTCTCTAGACTTGGGGACAAGGCCTAGATATTTTTTAAAAGCTAGATTTTTCAAGAGGGGCGCCTGGGTGGTTCAGTCGTTAAGCGTCTGCCTTCGGCTCAGGTCATGATCCCAGGGTCCTGGGATCGAGCCCCGCATCGGGCTCCCTGCTCCGCAGGAAGCCTGCTTCTCCTTCTCCCACTCCCCCTGCTTGTGTTCTAAAAAAAAAAAAAAAAAAAAAAAAAAAAAAGCTAGATTTTTCTAATTTGCAGGGAAAGTTGAGAGTAATTAAAAGCTAATAAGCTAAAGGTAATGGAAGAGGCAAAAGTGAAAGAGATTCAGTTTGAACAGTTCAATTTGAATGGTTTTGAAAAAGTTCAAAATATAAATGACAATTTTGAAGTAATATACAACAAATTTAATAACTCAACTGAATTATGGAAATACATAATTTGAAAAAAATTAAAAAGAAAACTGCTAAAGCACAAATTAAAACTCCTTTTCCAGTTCAAGTTTGTGAAATACATATTGGATATTGGATATTGGATATTGGATATAATACACATAGTGTTTTTTGCTTCTCTTTGGACTGGGAGTCAAATGAAAATCCCTGCTAAGTTTCAGGCATTTTCTCATTTGATTTCTGAAATTGTTTTATTTTTAAAAATAAGTATGTATGAAAAGAAAGCTTCAGAAGGCAAAATGATTATTTCTCTAAAGCATATATAAGAAGTACTCATTATCTAAGGGTAAGGAATAATTGATAAGTGGTGTATTCATTTCCTAGGATTGCTCAAACAGTTCACCACAAATTTGGTGTCTTAAAACAAGAAAAATTTATTCTCTCACAATTCTGGAGGGCAGGTGTCAGCGGAGCTGTCCTCCCACCAAAGGCTCTAGGGGGGAATTCCTCTTTGCTCTTCTAGTTTGGAGTGGTTCCTGGCATTTCTTGGCTTGCAGCAGCATAATTCCAATCTAAGCCTCTATCTTCACATGGCTTTCCTTTCATGTATCCCTAGGTGTTTTTTTTGGTCTTTTATAAGGAGGCTAACTGAATTTAGGGTCCGCCCAAATTCAGTATGCTCTCATCTGGATCCCTACCCTAATTACATCTGCAAAGACTCTATTTCCAAATAAAATCATATTCTGAGGTTCTGGTGGACATTAACCTTTAGGGGTACTGTTCAACCTACCATACCAGGTAAACACCATCTATGATGAATCTGTTAAATATGGAGACCAAATTTTTATAGTAAATAGTGTGTGTGTGTGTGTGTGTGTGTGTTATGGGAAGAATTCTTTAATACAAATTAATAAAAAATAAATTAATAAAATAAAAAATAAAAATTAATACAGAATTAGTTCTTTAATTAGAATTTCTCTGAAATGTGAAACTAAAAAAAACCCCCTACATTATATTGGCTATAATTGCATCTATGTATGAATTATTAGTGTTTACATATATACACTTTGTATATATATATGCACATACATACATACAGATGCAACACCATTTGCTTCATGGTTTTGTTCTCCAGAAGAATCGTAAGAAGGCTCATATTTTCAAAAACATCTGTAAACTTCATTTATTTTCCAAGAGGTCTTTTTAAATCTTTTTTTTTTTAATATGGAATATTTCATGAATTCACACATCATCCTTGCACAGGGGCCATGCTAATTTTCTCTGTATCATTCCAATTTTCATATATGTGTTGCTGAAGCAAGCACTTAAAATCTTTTTTTTTTTTTTAAGATTTATTTATTTTTTAGAGAGAGAGAGCACAAGTGGGAGGGGCAGAGGGAAAGGGAGAGAATCTCAAGTGGACTCCAGGACGAGCACAGAGCCTGAGATCATGACCTGAGCCAGAACCAAGAGTTGGAGGCTTAACTGACTGTGCCACCCAGGAGCCCCAAAATCTTTTTATATTCACACACCACACACACATATACCACAGACACCAAACAAACATCTTGTACCAGATAGGCAGACAGACACACACACGCACACACACACACACACTCACCACCCCACATTTATACCACACTAGACATACACCACACATATAGCCCACAGTCCAGGGGGCAAAGTAGACATTTAAACAAATAAGGATAGTGCAGTGTGATCATGATTGTGAGAAATGTTCATGCTGGTAACATAGAGGAGGAAGTAATGAATGATTTAGGAAAGTGGTGTCGGGAAAGGCTTCATTGAGGAAGTGAAGTACAAACTAATCCTGATAATTGAGTAGGAATTCATCATTTAAAAAAGTTAAATTATGGAGATAACATTTCTACTCTAGGAAGTGCTGTTAGAACCTAGGAATTAGAGCAATATCAAGACAAGCCACTCTAAGATATGATTGAAATGAGCAGCTAAGAAGACAGTGATAAGATGCTTATGTCCTATTAACTGTTTTTATGTCTTAAAATTCTACCACAAACAGAATAAGAAAATAAATAGCTATGTACTGGGGCGCCTGGGTGGCTCAGTTGGTTAAGCATCTGCCTTCGGCTCAGGTCATGATCCCAGGGTCCTGGGATCAAGCCCCACATTGGACTCTCTTTCGGACTCCCTGCTCAGTGGGGAGCCTGCTTCTCCCTCTCCCTCTGCCCCCCACCCCACCCCGCTTGTGATCTCTCTCTCTCTGTGTCAGATAAATAAATAAAATCTTTAAAAAAATAAATAGCTATGTACTAACATAATAGGATATAATTTAGGAGCTACAGTACTATAGAGAAAGGAAAGATTAGTGTGGTGTGGAATGTTCTGAAAGTCTTTAAGAGAAATGAAGTTTGAAACTCAGCCTTGATGATGAAGAAGAATTGGAGAGATGGGGAGAGAGGAGGTTGATGACAACAATACCATGGGTGCCCTGGAAGGAAAGAATGTCAAGAGGAAGAAATGATTAATGTCTTGGAACCCAAGTAAGATAAGATTGAAAGGAGACCAGGACACCTGGCTGGCTCAGTTAGTAGAGCATGCAACTCTCAATCTCCGGTCATGAGTTCAAGTCCCATGCTGGGCATTGAGCCTACTAAGGGGGGAAAAAAAAAGAAGACCAACCACTAGAAGGGCCTTGGTGATATTCCAAGAACAGGTTTGGGTTCCCAGAATAAGTGAATTTGTATTGGGTTAAGGAGTGAATGGTGTTTTGTTTTGGGTGGCAAATGAATGCTCAGAGACTGAGTATGCCTTTGCCAGAAATTTATTTAAACACAGGTTCACTGCAGGAATTCCACAAGCCAATAGCTTATAGGATAATGTCTCTTAATAAGCTCGTAAAGATATAACATGCTCCAAAGACATGATAGATTTATTACACTGTTGCTCCAGGCAAGTGGAGATGAAAGGAAAAAAGTCAAAATTAGGCTGAAGTATACACCTTTATAGGAGTTGATACTTAGGAGTGAAGACTTAACCAGGGGAGAAATGCCAGCACAAAAATAAAAGTCCTCTGTTGCTAAAGCATGTTGCTAGGGATCACCGGGGCTGGTATTGACAGGCCACAGGGGCTCCTTTGCAGGTGCCACTTCACTTTTCACCACTGCTGGTAGGAGTTGCCTTTACTGTGGCAGAGCTAACATCCCCAAAGTCTTTGGAGAGCTTTTTAGATCAGCAGAGAGTCTCCTTGCCCAGACAGAACATTCTCAGATAATCCTTATAAACTTTGGGTGTTTATAGTGTAAATATCCCCCTGCCATAGTTGTTTCTTCATGTTTTTCGATAAGCCCCAGTGGGGCATGTCGGCAGCTGAGCTACTGAGTTCTTATTGGTGAGAACAGTCTTTGTCATAATCAAATGGGTTAAAAAACTTCACGTAGTTCATAAACAAGTGGATTTGAAATCATATCAAACCAATACACAACAGGTAGGGAATAAACAAATATGTAAAGAGGTACTGTGTATCCTTTGATGTCTTAGATTAATAACTCAACTGAATTCTGGAAATACATAATTTGAAAAAAATTAAAAAGAGAATTTAGTAAGGAGCCAGTGGTTTTAAGTGCTAGATTAAGGAATTATCAATGGCTGAAGAATTAAAGGAAAACGGCTGATAGGGAATTTGAGCTACTTGGAGGTACTGGTGGGTCTATATCAGTGACTTTTAAAGTTTTCTGACTGTATCTTCAGTAAAAAATAAATTTTATGTTGTGATCAATAAAAGGCACAAACACATAACTGAAACAGAAGTTTCAAATATCAATACTACTTCCCTACTACAAGGGAAACACTTCTTTTTAATATTTTTATTTTTTATTTTTTTAAATTTTATTTTTAATAATGAAAATCAGGACTTCTGTTATGCAGTGCACGTCAGCTTTGGACTGTCGATCTGAGTTTTGGCTGTCTAAGATTGGTTTTTGACTGTGAGAAGGATTATATATTTTAAAAACATTTGTATTTTATATATTGTAAAAATATTCTAACTATTCCTAAAATTTCTTGTTTAACTTACAATTTACTTATTCAATTTATGTAAAATAAAATAACCATATTTTGGAAGACTTTGATTTATGATCATTTAATCCAGTTGAAAAGATTAAACTTGCTTGAACAATAAATCTCATTTACAAGTTTAATTACACATTATGAAACATTTATTTTTTTTTTAAGATTTTGTTTATTTGACAGAGAGAGAGAGCACAAGCAGGGGGAGCGGCAGAGGGAGGGGGAGAAGCAGACTCCCCGCTGAGCAGGGAGCCCTGGGATCATGACCTGAGCCAGAAGGCAGTTGCTTAACCTCTTGACCCATCCAGGTGCCCCTATTATGAAACATTTAAATTGCATTTAATAAATTTAATATGTTTGATTTTCCTTTTAAGTACTTCAAATGCTTGACTAGGCAAGCAATGACTTTATTAAGCAACACTCCTTTAAAGTACTTAACTCTTTTAAATGTGATTAATTAACCCCAGAAATGAAGTAAATTTCAGGTTCTTCTAAACATGTTCAGGATGTGAAAAAAAATTACTCCTAAAATTAGTCAGGAGCAAGGTAGTCTACTAACCTTTTTGGAAAGTAACATTTCTGATGAAATGTTTAAACAATTTTACTAATAGATTTAAGAGCCTCTTCTGGGAAACCCCTCCTCATTGTCAATCATGGAAGGACCCTAACAACTTTTAACCAGTCTTACAAGGAGTTTAATGATCTTTAATTAGGTCTTCTATATCTTGTCTTGCAATGAGTATCTAACTCCTCTTTTTAAAAAAATTTTAATCTTATGAAATATCACTAATAGGACACAAATCTTTGAAATGGTTCTTTTAGGAAGCCCTTCCTCATAGCAAGTTTGAAATAAAATTTAAAATAAAATAATTTGTAACATGCTTATGTTGAAGGATAATTTTTTAAGAGAGGCAATATCATGGATCTTGTACAAATATAAATATGTGTCAGGTATTTTATTTAATTAATAATAAGGAAGCCAGTAATATGTAAAACAGAAATTAGAGGCAATCAGGGACTGTGAAATGAATTTGCTAATAGCTACAAATAGGTTCTTCTTTGGAATGGGGGTGATGGTGGTGAAATTTATTGTACTTCTGTGGGACAAAATTCATTTACATCTCTATGGATAAGAATCATTTACATGCTATCATTTTTTAATAATTTGCAGAGTTGTATAACAGCTTAGTTAGAGATAAAGAAAGGGGCAGACGTCCAGATAACGTGGAGGCATACACTAGACAATGCTTAATGTTCCTTTGAAAGGACACTCATTAATCTTCCCTTGCCCATTTCAATGTCTTTCACAATTTTCCCCATAATTTCCCCACCTGATGATCACAATAATATTAAAGATTATTCACACACACACACACACACACACACAGGGCTGGTCTCATTTGGTTTAGTCTAATTTTTTACATAGGTGCAGCAGAGTGTTAATATATGTCTCCTTGAATTGGCTTTACAAATCTAGAGTCATACTTCATATATCCAGAAAACAGAACCTTGTTACAAGACAATATTCCAAATAATTACAATAACATTTCCCACATTAATTTGCTCAGTTCTATGTATTCTTGTTCCACTGGATCTTAGATTAGGAATCTGCTTTCTTAAAGCCTTCTGTTTCATGGGAAAAAATCCTGAAAATCAGTTCACTGGTAGTTGTCTACACAATATCAGTTCAGAAACCCATACCCCAAAGTCAATTATTTGAAGTGCCAATGGTTTAATGTAAGGGTCTTTTTTCCATGAGGCTCTGAGACTCTCTTTTGTTGAAGAAGACCTATGGCTTTGTTCTTTTCTCCTTAACTAATCAGAGGTGTAATAAAGTCAACATAAAGCACAGAAAATTATTTTAATAAGAGACCTAAGTCTAGCACATTTATTAAAGTATTAAAAATTCAACTTCCTTATTTTTTCAGAATTTTAGAAATATTTGATTTATATAAGTGCCCATTTATCTCTATAAGCTAATCAGAAAAGATATCCTTTAAGAGACCTCATAATTAATTAATATGCTCCAGAGACAGGAAAATATTTTGCACTCTCTCAATGAAGAGTGAAACCCTTTGAACTTAAGTTAAACTCGCATACCTTTCAACTTAAAAATCAGAAATCTGAAATCAATTATACATTTTCTATTAGAATCACAAAACTAATTTGTTATATTCTCCAATGTGCCAATTATTTTAAACATTACAAGAACTTTAAGTTGCAAAAAGTATTCATAATCAAGAGTATTAATATTATGGATTGATTTACTTCTTAATTC